GTGGTGTGGCAGCCTGCAATGGCTCTGGTCTTTGTGGCACTTCATGGTTGCCAAAATCTGAAGGAAAGGTCATTTATTCTGCAGACACAGTGGGAGAAAAACACCCAGGTGTCTGAAAAATAAGCCGCCTGTGTCACACTGAAGTTATACATCCCTTCTGGATAGTAGCTACTGGGCTGTGAAGCCTTTTCAGTTACTGATGCGTTATATTAGCTACATGCTATTTCCTTCTCCACAGTCCGTCACTTGTCATCAATGATATTTTCCCTTATCTGTCTAAGTTGCTAATTTGGGTTTTACTGACAGTATGTGTGTTGATATTGTTTTTCAAGCTGCAAACGTTTGGTTAAACTTGGATGAAAGCAATGTTACAACACATAATGTTATATTATATTCAGCAGCTTTTACGTAACTGTGATTTTATATTAGTTAGTCATTTCGTGTTTGTAAGCTGTTCCACATCATTGTTAGCTCATCAATCAGGCAATGCCTTTTGCTTAATAAATGGATGGCAGGAGAGTGCTGCAGAAAAGAGAGCGCTCCAAACCCTCAAAAATCCTGGCAAGGACACCCCCACGCTTCCAGATGTCACACCACAAACTTCCAAACTGTATTTTATTCACATAATTATGTCATGAGTCCAAGAAAAGTGTGAAGGAGGAATAATGTGTAATACTGAAAATCTGCTTTTTCTTACCAGTCAGTTGCATCTCAATATTCTTCATCATCATCATCATCAGCTGTATTTAAAGAGACTCTTGGTCCATTCTTTTATTTGAAAATTAAATTAGTTTTATAAACAGATACACTGGACAATACTCAACAGAGATAAATAACATCATGTGGTAAATATGAAATACTCATTGGGTTTGAACTATTCATGACAGGCCTTCATATCCGTTCTTTGATTTAAAACAAATCTTTTATCTAATTTTTATTTATTTGTCTTTTTCAAATGTGCCATTGTGAAACCCTTTGTACAGAATTTACAAAGTAGGTCATTCAATTGATCCCACACACACAAACATCGATGAAAGAACATTTCAATATAAAAGCTGAGGTGATTTATGTCGTGCCCCGCCTTGTTTTATCCAAGCCAGAGTGTTCGGCCCTCAGCTTGGCAACGTGTGTCAGCCTACATTAGGTGGACGAGTGAACAATGGCCTCAGCCAGGAGCAGGTGGTGGTTACTTGAAACTCTGAGAGGAGGGTGTGCGTTAGTGGCTGTGTGCATGTGTGTGTGTGACAGAATGAGAGAGACTGGTCTATCTGCCATCTGGAACGCCGGGACAATCAGGTGAGGCGGAAACTTGGATGTGCTGTTTCTATCAGTTCACTGACTGGCCTCTCTCCTGAATCCAAACACTTTTTTGTTTTTGTTTTTCTGAGAGGATCCAGTGGTTCCTCTCTATGCCTCTAGTGATGGCACACAGCAATTTTGAGAGTGTGAAATGAGCAATTACAAGGTGTGCTTCACCCCCTCTTAAAGTGGACCGACCCAAAATGAGATCAGCGGGCCAAGCCAAGTCAAGTTTATTTATAGAACATTGTCGGCAAACAGATTCGTATCTTTTTAACGGAAAACAAGGGTCAACATAACAAGGGTTTTTGTGTGTGTGTGTGTGTGTGTGTGTGTGTGCTTATACGAGCGTGTGTGCCTGATTTAGAGTATATCAGAGGGAAAAACTGTTGTGTTTTTCTGAAACAGGAAAGACTGACAGCTGAGAGTAAAGGCAGGTTATGAGAAATGCTGATTAAAATAACTGATTTTGAATTTGTGTTTTATACTGGACCATGTCATCGTTTCTAAATCAACGCGAGTCAAACTCTTTTGCACTCTGTCCTTAAAAAAAGTGACTTGCTGTATATATTTTCATTGTGTTGTCTGATGAGGGACATCCTGCTAAGCAGCTTTACTTCTGTGATTGAATTGACGTTGGGCTCTTATTAGCATAGGTAGGCAACTTTAAATAAGCAATGTTAATTTTTATAAATAATGCATAGACTGCATTTTTTGAAGCCATTTGATAATCAAGCTAAAGATGCAATCTGAGACCCTGTGCCTTTGCCCCAGAAATATGAGATGAAAGATTTGACAAGTGATAAATGTCAAATACATTTAATTACATAACACATATATATTTATAACAAAGTCAGCTTTTCAATCACACACTTTGCAACCATTTTTTACAAACACCTTATTAATAAATAAAGCTTTTGATTGCAGAGTGTCTGATGTCCCTCCTGAGATTAGTCTAATGATGCTTGACATTTATATACGTACAGTAATTACATAGTTCAAAGCATATTCCCGGGCTCTTCTACTGTATGTTATCCGATTATAGTCTCATACATGCTCATTAAAGTCTTCTTCTTCTTATGTTCATGTAACATCACAAAGCAGTTTGTAGCCCCTTCTCTCTGATCTCACAACCGGAAGGCCTCAAACTATCCTACTTAACAGGAGCAAATTATTTCTATGGTCGAGCGATTTTGTGATAAACAATCCTTTCTTTAGTTGGTGCTACAAAAAAGGCATTTTCATATGTAAATGTCCATATTCTGTTCCTTCCTTGGACTGTACCATTTTCTGCTTACACTTATACTTGTATCCCCGCCCTTTGTACTGTGAAACCTGCTCTTTCTCTCTATATTTCAGTCTCAGCAGCTTATTCCAAAGGGCTGTAGACCACTTCCACCCCCATGTCCCCTACACCTACACCTACACCTGGCCTGGTGCCATCACATCCCACCTCACCTCTCCACCCCTCTGATTGTCCTCAGCAAAACAATCTTCAATGCTCAGGCAGTTGTCAACATTAATCCTTCACAGTCCTCTAACCTGGATCATCACTATCAACAGAGCAGCAAACAATGCAATGTATAAGTTACTCAGTTCATGTGGAAGGACAGCGCACACACCCAGAAGCACGTTTGCATGCTCTTTCTCTGTTTTGAATTCTGAGCCCATTCTACTTGTACACTGCAAAAAATGACCCTTGTTGTCTCGAATGGGTGAGGTTGTATCCGGTTGTGGCTGACCATAATATAGCCTTCCTGAGACATTTGAGATACTGTAAGTGATGCTTTTCACACATATTTTTACAAAACCAAATTCAAATATCTTAAAGGTGGGGTAGGTAAGTTTGAGAAACCGGCTCGAGATACACTTTTTGTTATATTCCATGGAATGCTCTTAACATCCCGATAGCAATGAATATCTTAAGTGCTTTGACAAAAAATCCATAACAACATTTCATCTGTGGAAGCCGTGGTGCTGTAAAAAGCACGACCAATCATTTGAGCCGGCCCGGCTAAAATAACTGGATGGCCTACCTGCCTGTCAGCCTTCCATCTGTGCACAAACTTATCTCGTGCCCTCATTGGTCATGTGCGCGTTCGTGTGTGTTGGAGGCGCACTCGAGCTGGTTTCTCCAAAATTACCTACCCCATCTTTAAGTGTTTTCCAAATGGTGCTCTGGTTAACAGCAGGTTTTTATAACCTACACATTGCACATCTATTGCTGCAGAGTTGTTATTTATAATAATTGTAATTGCTTTAGATGGCTTTGATTTTCAGGAAAAGTAATTGTAAAACCTTTTTTTTGCTGCCCATCTCTTGTTTTATTTTTATTTATATGTAGGTGTCTTTATAAAACTGCCTTTCTGAAGAGATGTCTTTTTTGGTTTATGTTCTACTAATGGAACACGTTTTTCTGCTGCGGAGAAACTATGAGATATGATACCTTAGTTATGATAAAACAGAACTATTTTTATACGGATGAAAATGGCTATGTATGAACAAGTGCAGATATAAAACGTGATCAATAAATAATTCAAAGTCTTCTAAAACAGTTCACTATTTGAATTTTCCAAATATGTGCTATTATATCGGACAGGCTTTGCCCTTATTTATGTATACTAACTATTGGGCCTTTTTTGTGCAGGCTTTTCCTAATATTTTAAAGGTTCCATGTCATGCTTTTCCGGTTATTACCCGTCCCCTTGTGTGTTATGAAGGTTTTTATGCATGTAAACGGTCTGCAGAGTCACAAACCCTCAAAGTACACCCTGTAGCGAGTAAAACTCTAACACAGAAAAGACCTGTCTGCTGCCCCAGAACGCCTCGTTGGAGATTTCTCTTTTTCCATTGTTTTCTTCCTGGGTACAGTGACGTGCCCATACCCAAATGGACCAATCCGCGGAGCCGTTACGTTAAGATTTGGACCAATCCGCGGACTTCCTCACACACACACACACACACACACACACACACACACACACACACACACACACACACACACACACACACACACACACACACACACACACACACACACACACACACACGCACACACACACACACACACACACACACACACACACACACACACACACACACACACACACACACAACACACACACACACACACGCACACACACACACACACACACACACACACACACACACACACACACACACACACACACACACACACGCACACACACATTCAATCTTTTCTCAGCTGCAGCTCCGCCGATTTATCCTGCCTGAGACGGCGGGACGCGGCGAGGGCGAGGCTGTGAGTCTGTGTGTGAGCACACACACAGACTCACAGCCAGGCTGCGGGTGTGTGTGTGCTCGGGCTGGCTTCGTGCTGGGTTTCGCTGTGTCTCGCCGTCTCGCAGACGGCCACTGGGCTCAAAACATGCTGTATGAGAAGCCACTGTGAGTTTCGAAATTGCACAATATAAATCTATTTTAGTATACCTCAACAATGGAATTATGATCAGTAGACATGGCCATGGGACCTTTAATACTCAGTAAGTCTAAAAACCACTTAAAATAGACTTTTCTTGCAGTGTGTATCTCACGCTAAGCCCCCTCCCTGCCTCCGCCCTCTACTTCGATGTACTTTGAGTCATTGTGATTGGCTCACGTTTCATGTCCATCAGAGCTGTGTGGGCGGGACTCAAACAATCCACTCGTGCTATCTTCACTGATGAGTGTGCGCCACAGCAGACAGTAGTACAGCATCGGCAGCATCCACTCTGTGACCGGAGGACAACTACTGCTGTTGTTCACTCTCCCGCAAACTGAGCCTGTAGCCAACCGCTGGTGCATCCTTGAAATAGTTAATGTTTAGGAGCGAACACATTTCTGCTTTCAAAAGTAACACCGTTTTCCGGTCGTGAAGTCGGTTGTGCCCTGAGACGCACAAAAGACGCACTCCCAAGTCCACCTGGATAGCTGACAGAGCAGTCCGGTCTGGTTCGAGGTCCAGTGGGGAGAGACAGAGAGGAGAAGTTAGCCCGGAAGGCAAGAGGAAGAAACAGAGAAGCCAGGATGAATCAAAAGAGTCATTTGATTTTCACCCTCTACACTATTTATGGGATTCTTCTGAAAGGTGAGTCTGGGACAAGTGGTGCGTACATGCGGGTGTTTTGTGCATACTGTGTGTGTGTACTCGTGCATGTTACAGGCCAACAGCAGGGCAGGATGGAGGGACAACAGCACGCGCGGTCACAGTCACACCACATGCGGGTCCTGGCAGAAACATGCGGACCCCCCTCTCTCCCTCACCGGGTTTCTCATTCTCCAGCATGTGTGTTTGTGCTTGCGCGGGTGTGTACGTGAGTTGAATGTACGTGCATGTGCAAACGTGCGTCTCATGCATAGGTCTCATGGTACAGCTCGAGGAGAGCGAGAGAGCTGGTCCTCTAACATCCTTCTGGATCCCTTAATGTTCCGGAATGAGGAGGATACTATTTTCATAATTGTGTGCTCAGGGCACGACCCGAGCAGTGGCTGTGAAGCCAAACAGAGTGGCGCGACTCCTGAGTCTGCGATGTGCGTGAGTGCCAATGAAAGAAAAAATGAGCCCGCTAGGAAGACACACCTTTACATGAAGTAACCAACCCCGCGGTTGTTTTTGACATGCAGCACTTGGATGAGTCACGGAGACACTGGCAGCCTTTTACGCACCGAACAGTTTGATGATGCTGCTGATAACGGCAGCTTTATATGCACACACAGCATTTTGACTCTAATCTTTTTAGTTTTATTTTATGAATTTGCCCTCTGTTTTCTCCGTGCAGGCGTGGTGTCTGTGGACATGGTGCGCACAGTCATCTCTGGTGTGTTGTGTGCCTGCATAAAGGTTTCAGGGAAGGCTATTGTCAATGAACAGGTGCATGATTAGGATGACAGGCTTTCCCATTACTTTCTGAGAAGTAGATTTTCCTGTGTGCTAGCTGATGTAAAGGTCAAGCTTCTCTCAGATTATGCTTCATATAGCCAACATGCACAACAATGTACCAGTGATTATTACTGTGCTTACAGTATCCATTAGCAAGGAAATCAACTTGACAATGGCTGATGTAAATGTGAATAACATTTCGATCTCATAACTGTTTGTGATAATATCAAGATAAACAGTGTTGTTTACAGAAGATAGGTATGTAAACATTAGATTAAGGTGACATAGGGGTCAAGGTCATATGGTTGCCATGTCTGCCATAAGTGGTTCAGTGAGATATCAGCATATCAATTACAATGGAACTACAATACATACATTGCACTGAAATATCATAAAATGGCAATAAAAAATAAAACCAGCCCTGTATACAATATTATATATGCTTATAGTTTATATTCTCCGCCTGTCTTAAACATATAAAGTATGAACAGATTAGAGGATGTGGGCCAACACAGCAAGAACATTCTGGGGCTTCAATGGCTTGATGGTTTTGATCAGTGAATACAAGACTGATTTTTTTAATTCAACTACCATTAGAAAACTCTCTTTTTATATCACGCTATTTTGATGATGCAATGCGGAGGGTTTGCACAATACATTTTTGTTCCAGTATTGTTCCATATTTAAGAAATGTTATAGAAAGATGCCCGAGTACAACCCAGTGGCATGTTTTGTGATATTTGTTCACTTTAAACACAATACCGTGTTGAGTACTGGATTGCATTCACGTGTTGAGGCATCCAAGGAAAACAATATCTTTGTAAGAAGTTAAAGAGGGAACACTTCGTATTGAGTTGCTGGACTGTCAGTGGCAGGAGGGTGATGGATTTACTTGGGAAAAAACTGTCAGTCCAACAGCAGGGCCACTTATGCTGCGCTGAGCTCCAGTTTGTGATATAAAGTCCACTTTATCCCACTCAAATAACATCAAGATGTATTTAAGGCATTTGATAACAGATTTATTAACATGAAAGCCTTGACTTAAACCAGCTTTCCACACGAGTAAATCCCAAAGGAGAGATCACTTGATTCTCTTGATCATTTGTTGTTCTCTCTTTGAAGTGTGTGAGTGTGTGTGCATATGAGAGTGAGTGAGAGCAGTCCTTAACAACCAGCCATGATTAAGGCCACTCTTGACTTAATGAATTGATACGTAATGAGTTATCTTAGGGTATCTGATATATCTGACAGCTCGCACTGCAGCAATTATTGACGTTTCAGGGCTTCTCTGTCCCATTTTATTCTCCTAAGGGTGACACATTCATTATGAGTGTGTCTGTGTGTTCTTGTGTGAGCTTATTACCTTGCAAATGAGTGCCACGTTTCTATAGTTCAAGTCTGGAATGGCCTACGCAATGACAAAAACCATGCTGTTAACCGAGCGCATTTCCGATCCGTTTCCACACACCCTCACATCAGTCTCTTTCTCTCTCCCTGCCTAACTCTGAAGGGGATCATGTTAGGCTGCTTGATTTGAACAGTCATCTCGCAGTGCAAGACCTATTATTGTATAGGTTCCACACAGCAGGCAGGTCAGCCTCCCTCTGAATGAAGTCTATCTAGCCGCAGCCGTATCCGTGCGCTCTGTAAATGGCAGCTGTTTCAGCCCCTCTGGCCCGGTGCCACCTGGCATCAAGACATCCAGACACACTGCATCTCTGTCACCGACTAGACCTGCGTCGTGTATATATATATAGTGTGAACGTGAAGTGTTTTGATGGAGGTTGTTGTTTATCAACAGCCCGAGTTGTTAGCATATTATCCAGTGTGTCTCGTGTGCCCATGCCGGATTCAGAGAAAACAGCCTGTTATGCAAATGGCCTCTTACGTAATAGCCCGGGGCTGCGTGGCAGGCGAGGGGAGATGAAGGCAGGAGAGCAGCAGAGAAAGACGGAAGATATTCTAGAATAGAGGACTTGATGTTAGAGTGACGTGGGAGGAGAGGTGTGGAGGAGGAATGTGCAATCTTCTCGGCTAAAGTGTGCAATATGTGTGCTCTGGTTGTTGTTTGCTGTTAGGATGGCTGTTTATCGCTCTGCCTGCCTGGTAGTCTGTCTGTTTTGAACTCTGATCTTGCTAGCCTAAATACAAACCCCCGCTGAGGGATGTGTTTATCCCCGCAGTGAGTCTAAGCTGCTGTAGGCTGACCCTCCATCCCTCTGTACTTCCGAGCATTCCTCCCTCGCCTCATCCTCTCATCCTGGTTTGGAGCTTTGTACCACAGCAGCGTGGGAAAGCTTCCGATAACAAGTGGCCGTGTGTGTGTGTGTGTGTCTGTGTGTGTGTGTGTGTTTGCAGAGCCACTGATTACATGGGAGAAACAAGGTGCTCTCTCTTTCTCGCTCACTTGCACTCACCCTCTCACTTCTATGTGTTTCATTTTCATGGACACGCTTTGACAGGTGGAACATGTGACGTACTCTGTACCTTACAGAAGCCATACACCTTCAATGCTGACAATCCTTAGCAGAGCAGAACTGGGCATCACACACACGGAGCCCCACTGTGGATTCATTGCTGCCCTGCCAAGGGATTTCCCATGATCAAAGCCAGTCTTTTGTTAGTCCAGGTGTTAAAAAAGTTAAAACAGAAAGGAGGAGGAGGCTGGAGGGGAACGTGGGATTCCGAGCTTACAAACTCTTCATGGCAGAGCAGAAATGTGCTTCTCCAGAAACACTTCCAGGGAACCTGCCACTTGTTCCAATTCTTTCTCATATCAGTAATCATGCGGGGCAGGTTTTGCTTGGGAATGTACAGCAATGACAAGTTGAAAACAGACGCTCTCAAAGTGTGTTTAGACATAGGGATGAAAGGACACAGGAAGAGGCAGGAGGCCAATCATTGTTAAGCTCAATACACATGTAGTGGCATATGGTAGTTATTCACAAGTGGCAAAAACAGAACCCAGACAAGACACTATGGAGGAGTGAGAAGTTTTAAGCTTTATGCAAATGTTATCCATGTGCACAGCTCAGCTCCTAAACCAGCCTGTGGAAATACCCTAAGCTTTAATGAGCCTGCAAAATATGATGCTCACAAATGCAGCATCACAGAAAGATCGGACATTATTTTTGTACTTCAGACATACTTAAGACATACTTCATTTCAAATATGCCCATTGCTAAACATCTCCCAAGGCTACATATTCAGTGTATTGCAAGATTCAGCCTGGTTTTATTTTTGAACACACTGATATGAAGACTCTTGTCTCTTGTCTTCAGAGAATATGGCCTTACAGCATGTCTAGGTGTCATATATTGTGTCCAGGTCCCCAGCACAACACACAGTCACGCTGTTTTCTAAATTCTGCAGTATAGGGCTTTGCTGATCCTGGCATGAATCTGCTGGAAATGGAATACATCCTCTAAGGAGTAAATGGCTGTGAGATGGCACTGACGCACCATCATGGATGACTGCGTTACTCGCTTCACATTTCAAGCATGCAAAACCAAAAATATCTATAATTATGTTGTCAGGCTTACATTCAAGAACATGTCCCATTTATAACATACTAATTCTAATAAATAGTCTATTATTTGAGCCTAAGTGCTAGGTATTATCTAATCGAATCCTATGTTGGTGGTGCGGTGAGCTAATAGCTTCCTGTTTACAAATTCAGAACATGTCAATGTTAATGTCATTAACATTGCTAATCCGTAAATTAACATTTTTTGTAGTGATTCAATGCAGAGTTAATTTAGATTTTTATTTTGGCATCAAGGCTGCGTTTCATGTTTCTACGACAGGGTGGAATTTAAAGCCAGCCCAAAAGCGAGAGAAGGGAGAGATGAAATACAGCCTCCCGTGGAGAATGGGGAAAATCCGAGCCCACAGGTGGATTTGGCTGCAATAGCAGTGGCAGCAGACAGTGAGTTTGTACCCAGAATAGACGTCCCTGTAGGTCAAATAAGTATGCAAGCTCAGCTAACAAATCAGCTGATTTGGCTATTCTTCAAAGGGAATGAAGCTATTTGTTTATACATATCAGGATATGAAATAATATGCATTTGTCAATGTGAGACGTCTGTAACGATAAAAATAAAACAACCTTACATGTAGAAAATGGTGTTTGGGGTTGCATAAGGTGTATTTTTGTACAAAGCTTCCTCTGCTATATGATGACTAATTCTTATAGACATTTTTTTTTC